TTGGGGTTTGAAAGCCACTGGGACATCATGTTTAGAAAATAAACGACTTAGTTTCTCCGAAACACCCGCAACATACGGAATAACCACTGGTTTGGGGTCTTCATTTTCACCTGAAGGACCCTAGAGAAGAACCCGTCCAGAAGACCTATACAATTTTTTCCTTTTTTTATGAAAGGAGATGTTTATGTGCTCTAAAAAAATTTAAGTGTTGAATTTGAATGAATGAATGAATGAATGAATGAATTATTGTTTCTGTTGGACAGACTCACTGTCTGAGCCGGGCCGAGCGTCAGCGCTTCAGTGAGGAGGTGGAGATGCTGAAAGCTCTGCAGCATCCCAACATCGTGAGGTTCTTTGACTCCTGGAAGTCCAGTCTGAGGGGCCCTAAATGCATCATCCTGGTGACGGAGCTCATGACGTCCGGGACCCTCAAAACGTGAGTCCAGAACCCCAAACACCCCTCAGTCCGATCCCTGCACACAGTTAAACAGTTTTTAATTTTTTATTTTACTCAAAGCAACTGAAAATCCTGAGTTAATATAATTCTTTGTAAATGTGTTCCACACCTGTCCAGGTACGTGCGAAGGTTCCGTCCGATGAAGCTGAAGCTGCTGCAGCACTGGAGCATCCAGATCCTGAAGGGGCTCCACTTCCTGCACTCGCGCTCACCACCCATCCTGCACCGAGACCTCAAATGTGACAACATCTTCATCAACGGGCCCACTGCCTCAGTGAAGATCGGCGACCTGGGCCTCGCCACGCTGAAGAAGGCCTCGTTCGCCAAGAGCGTCATCGGTGAGTCCGTTTATAAAAACAACTAAAAAACCTTTTAGAACTCTTTATTCTCTATTAACTGACCCTTTGACTGGTGGTGCGTTCAGGAACCCCTGAATTCATGGCTCCAGARATGTACGAGGAGAAGTATGACGAGGCCGTGGATGTTTATGCCTTCGGTATGTGCATGCTGGAGATGGCAACATCAGAGTATCCTTACTCCGAGTGTCAGAACGCTGCCCAGATCTACCGCAAGGTCACCAGTGTAAGGCCACGCCCACCTCAGTGCCGCGTACTTCCTGTAGTTCTCTTCATGTCTGACCGTCTGTTTGTCCTTCAGGGAATCAAACCGGACAGTTTTATGAAAGTACAAGTCCCAGAACTGAAAGAGATCATTGAAGGCTGCATCCGAACCAGGAGCAATGAGAGGTAACTGTCTGTGGTTAGTTCACTGTCCACAAAAACAGTCGGAAAACACAGAATCTGTGGTTAGTTCACTGTCCACAAAAACAGTCAGAAAACACAGAATCTGTGGTTAGTTCACTGTCCACAAAAACAGTCAGAAAACACAGAATCTGTGGTTAGTTCACTGTCCACAAAAACAGTCAGAAAACA